TTTTCAGCCTCCCCAGCACTGGGATCACAGGCATGCACCACCACGCCCGGTTGAACTCTGGGCCTTGTGCTTGGCAGGCAGGCACTTAAGCCGCTGAGCTATTTCCTCAGACCAAATGCTACTTCCTGCCCTTGCCTAACAATATTTCTTTTTTCTATTGGTCACCAGAAGTGCAGGGCTGTTAATCCTACTATTCTACTGAAATTGCTCGCAGTCATTCATTCTTCAGTGCCTTCTAATTCTTTTCGTTTCCCTGTCTCTTTTGGTGCTGAGGAGGAAACCCAGGCTGGCAGGCCCTGACACGGGCTGATGGGGTCTCTCCGTGTGTTTTCCATCTCCACAGAGGCTGAGGCAGGAGGCTCATTACTAGTTCGAGACTAGCCTGGGCTACGAAATAAGCTCAAGGCCAGGCTGAACTGCATGGTGAAACCCTGCCCCCCAAAAAGAAATAAAGAAGTGACAGCAGCAGAGCTATCGAGGGTTAAGTGTAGAGCATTTGCCTGCCGCACACCACCCGAGGATGGATCCCACACTAAGTGGGGTGTGGATATGAATGAAATCCAGTATGCTGGAGGAGGTTTTTGTGTGATTGCTTTTTGTTTCTTTCGTGGTTCTGGGATGGAACCCAAGGCCACTCTTTGTTTGGCCTACTGTTACCTGTTTGTTTGTTTGTTTGTTTGCGACAGGGTCTCACTATGCAGTCCAGGTTGGCCACCATCAGCACAAGCACCCTGGCTCAACACGCGGTGTTGGAAACAACTTTAAGCCACAAACCTAGCCTATTTGGTGACTAGGAAAACTGCAAAGGTCGGAGATGGCTCAGTAGAATAGGCGCTTGCCTTGCAAGCGCAAGGGCCTGAGTTCAATCCCCGGTTCTGAAAGAAAAAAAAACGTTTAAAAAAAACTGCAAAGGTCTAAGGCGGAAGACCCGCTAACCCAAGCGGCCACACAGCCCCACGCACCCGCACGCAGCTCCGCCCTGCGCAGGCCTCTCCACTTCCGCCGCCGGAAACTGCTCCTCGGCGGGCGGAGCCACCTTGGCCCAAGCGCATAAAGGCGTGTGGGCAGCCTCCGGCGTCGCTGCAGCTCCGGAATCCCAAGGCTGCATCTACGTCGAGAGTTCCGAGCCCAGCGGGTCTGCTTTGCATTACCCTGTCTCGAAAACCAAGGGGCCGTCCAGAAGCGCAGCCAGGTAAGCCGGCCCGGCTGAGTGCAGACTCTTCCCCGTGCGAGCAGCCCTCGCTGTGTTTGGAAAGTTCCTTGAGGGGGAGCAGGGCGGTGTACGTTCTTGGGCTCTCCGGAGCGGCTCGAGTTTCCCCAGGCCAGACCGAGGCACAGACAGCGTAAGCCTGGGTCACACAACTTGTAAGACAGCAGCAAGCCTGGTGTGACAAGAGGCAGAGGCAGGAGGATCGCCGCAGACCTAGGCCAGCCTGGGATCAGTGTCGAACTTACTTTTCCCTCCCCTGCTCCCCATAGTGGGGATTGGACCTAAGGCTTAGCTTCACTGCGAGCTGCACCGTCATGCCTCATTTTTATTATCCATTTAGTACCAGGCATCTTAACTCAGGACCTTGCGCTTGCCAGGTAGGCACCGTGCTGCTGAACTCTCCCCAGTTTTTTGTTTGTTTGTTTTTGTTTTGTTGAGATATGGTGTCACTACTTAGTGACAGCCTTGGGGCATTCCTCCAGCCTCAGGAGTGCTGGGATTACAGATGTGTGGCTTCACGCCCTTCCTTGAGCGCTGGGCGAGTGTCTTGACGGGGTGAGCAGGGCCCCAGAGGGTGTGCTGGGGAGCCAGGGGCTGGACCGGGGAGCTTCGGGCCAAGCGGAGTGGGGGTGAGAAGGGACGGACGGACGGACGGACGGACGGCTGGCTGGCTGGCTGGCAGGTGAAGGATGACTCAGGGGACCCCTGCACAAGGCACCTGTCTCTGTGTTGGGGTCACAGCATCAGCCCAGCCCCTCTTGAGAATTTAGAATATAACTAGGCCCCACACTCTTTGGTGTTGCACTGGAGCTTGCCCCAGAGTTACATCCAGATCTTACGTGTTTTGTTTTGTTTTTTTTAAGTGTCTTTGTAGTTCAAGCTGACCTTGAACTGGAGGCCATTCTGCCTGACCCTGAGTGCTGTGATTACAGGTGTGCACCACCACACCCTGCTGCAGATGGGTTTTTGTTATTGTTGTTGTTTTTGTTGTTTTGTTTTGAGACAAGATCTCACTACATAACTCAGACTAGCTTTGAACTCACTGCAGAGCTGGCTGGCCTGGAACTTCAGTGATCATCCTGCCTCAGCCCTGTAAGTGCTGAGATTATAGGCTTGTGCCAGGACACACAGCTAGATATGAATTTTGATCCACCAAAGATACTTTTATTTGCGAATTAGGTCAAACCTCAGTGATAGAGTGCTGCTTACCTCTCATGCGTAGGGTCTGGCTTCTGTGCCTAGGGCACTTCATTCCTTCCTTCATGTGTTGGGTTGGGTGGGTATCAGAGCTCTGCACATTCCGGACAAGCCCTGAACTATAGGCCCAGCCCAAGAAATACCTGTCTATGAGGAGCAGAGGCAGGAGGATTAAAATTGCAGCCCAAGCACCTAGTGGGTGAGGTGATGTCTCAGTAGAAAGGCAGGAGACGTGGCTCTGTGGAGAGCTCCAGGTTAATCCCCAGAATCTGTTCCCAGCGCCACAGAAACAACGCTGCAGCACAGACCCATGGTTGGCCAGAAGGCAGGTGTAGGAGCATGGTCATCCTATACTGATGTGCAAGTCGAAGGTAAAGTACTGAGCCTGTGCCTGCCTCTGCCTGGAGTGACCCAGGATGAGCTGGGCTGCAGGCTGAGGGCATAGGTGCAAGGATGAGATCAGGACCTGGGGCATGGCCCCTAGAATAAACAGGGCCCCCACTTGTCCACAGCAGGATATCAGCATCTGAAGACTCTAGGGGCCTTGCCGGCAGCCCCAGCCCAGAAGCCAAGGCCTCAAGAAAGCCTCCCGAGTCCCACAGAGACACGAAGCCCCGGCCCAATGGCAGTTGTGTCAGAAGCCCTCGCGCGGCTACAGGCTGAGACCAAATGCCCTGTGTGCTTGGATGACCTGACAGACCCTGTCACCATCGAGTGTGGACACAACTTCTGCCGCCGCTGCATCCGGCAGACGTGGGCAGACTTCACCGAGAAGTTCCCCTGCCCCGTGTGTCGCTTCGAGTGCGAGGAGTGCTACTACCGCAGCAACACGCAGCTGGGCCGCATGGTACAGATAGCCCGCAGGCTGCACAGCAGCTGTGGCAAGAGGCGGCGGTCGGAGAAGACCACCCTGTGCGAGAAGCATGGCCAGGAGCTGATGCTGTTCTGTGAAGAAGAGCTGGAGGTGCTGTGCCCCCAGTGTGTGTCCCCCGAGCACAGCAACCACCGCGTGAGCCCCCTGGTAGACGCTGCCCAGCGGCACCGGGCGAAGCTGCGCAACTACGCCAAGGGGCTGCGCAAGCAGGCAGATGACACCCAGAAGCTCATCAGCGCGCAGAGCAGGGCGCCCCTGGAGCTGCACGAGAAGGCGGAGGCCCGCAGGCAGAAGCTGGCCTCCGAGGTGCAGCTCCTAGGCCAGTTCCTGGAGCGCGAGCAGCAGGCAGCCTTCGAGCGGCTGGCGGAGGAGGAGCGGCACATCCAGCAGCAGCTGGAAGACAACATCAGGGCCTTCACTAACTACCGGGCCACGATGCAGAGCCTGCTGGCCAGGGTGGAGGGCCACAGCTCGCTGTCAGAAGTGGAACTGCTGGCACAGATCAAGCACTTCTACCCGCGCTCTGACTGCGAGATCAGCCCGCCCATCTTCTCCATCAACCTGCCGCGTGAAGCCTGCAACTTCCCGCCGCAGTACTCTGAGCTGCAGAAGATCAGGAGGGAGTTCCGTGTCGACATCATCCTGGACCCTGAGATGTCCTACCCCAACCTGCTCATCTCCCCCGACAGAAAGTGCGTGAAGTTTACAAAGAAGAGGCCAAGAAGCCCCCGTGTGTCCAAGAGGTCCAGCGCCGTGGTGCTGGGCTTCCCAGATTTCTACTCTGGACGCCACTTCTGGCAGGTGGAGGTGGGTGATGTGCCGCAGTGGGCCGTGGGGGTGTGCAGGGCTGCGCAGTCCTCCAAGGGTCGGCGGGCCGGGCAGGGCTGCTGGCGCCTGCAGCTGCTGCAGCAGGGAGGCTATGAGGCCCCAGGAGCCAGGCCAGCCAAGCTGCAGCTGGAGGTGCGCGACCGCACCCTGGGCATTTTCCTGGACTACGAGCTGGGCGAGGTGACCTTCTATGACATGCCTGATGGCGCACACATCTGCACCTTCAGCGACTCCTTCAGTGGGCCTCTGAGGCCCTACTTCTACCTCGGTCCAGAATCCAAGTCGCTCAGGATCCTCAGGGAGCGTTTCGGGGAGTAAGCACAGCCGCACTTTTCCCCTTTAGTATTCACCCTATTTTAGGCCATGGTGGGGATGGCCTTGGACTCTGCCTGCGGGGCCCTATTTTGTATTTGAATTATGTTGGGATAAGCTTTTCGGTTCCATTTCTCTTTCAGTTTTTGGTATGTGATGTATGGGGGGGGGGTTGTTTGTTTTGTTTTGTTTTTGTTTTTTGAGACAGGGTCTCCTGTGCAGTTCAGGCTAGTCTCAGACTCACAGGGGCCCGCCTGCCTCAGCCTCCCGAGTGCTGAGATCGCAGGTGCACAGCCCAGTGTTTTGCAAGCTGAGCATGTACTCTGCTGTTGAGCTGCATTCCAGGCTCCAGACTTGTTTTTAAAATTATAATGCTAGAAAGAGAATCAGGAAGTGCTGTAGGGCACCCACCTGGCAAGTTGAGCATTTTTTTTTTGGCAGGCAGGGTATCCCTGTGGATAATTTTTTACTCAAGTGTGTAAGCTCACTGAGTATTTTTGTCTGTGTAACTGAGAAAAGGTTTTTTTTTGTTGTTTTTTAATATAGTGAGGATGAAACACAGGGTCGTTGCAGTGAGCTACACCCCCAGCCCTTTATTTTTGAGCTAGGAACTTGCTAGCTTGCCCAGGCCGGCCGAACTTGCAGCCCTGCTTCAGCTTCTCACGCCGCTGGGATCCTAGGTGCGTGTCCGACAGCCAGCCGGACCGGCTGAATGGAAGCATCTCTGGCCCTCATTGCATGCCTTATTTGCGGTTTCCCCGCTTGTAAGAAGCAAGCTTCATTTGGGGCCACAGCTCTAGGGGCCTAGTGAAGCCTCCCTCCCAGGGCCAGCTGAGGCTAGGTCACCTTGGTGGGCTTAAGCGGAGTGCTTCATCCGTCAGCAGCCTCAACACCAGAGGTAGGTGCTCTGTCCCTGCACACCACACCTGCCAGGGCCAAGCACCACAGAAGCCCCCTTTTCTCTTTTTTGGATGATCGTACTAAATTAAGCTGCTCTTGCCGGACTGGATTTGTGCCTCTCCTGACTCTGCCTCCCCGAGGGCTGAGGCGACTGTTAGGACACCACACCTGGCAGGTTGAGCACTTTTGGCAGGTGGGGTTTCCCTGTGGATAATGTTTTACTCGAGCATGTGAGCTCACTGCATTTGGAGGTGCTGGGGTTTCCTGTGTGCTCTGCCCCCACTCTGCCTGCGGGGCCTTCTTGTACTTGAATTATGTTGGGATAAGCTTTTGATTCCATTTCACTTCTGTTTTCAGTTTGTGGCACATGATTTTTTTTTTTTTTTTTTTTTGGGTGCAGAACTGGAGATTCAACTCAGTTCAAGCACCCTTGAGCTTGCCAGGGAAGCGCTTATACTACTGAGCCATCTCCCTGGCCCCAGTGGTTTTGGGGTTTTTTAAAATTTTTTTTAGTTTAGACAGGTCTCCTGTGCAGTTCAGGCCAGTCTCACACTCACAGTGACCTGCCTGCCTCAGCCTCCTGAGTGCCGAGGTCACAGGTGTGTGCCACCATGCCCGGCATGTGTGGTTTGAACCCAGGGCCTGGCCCATATCAGGCCCGTGCTAAACACTGAGCCATGGTCTTGGTGCTTTCAAACCTGTAAGAGCAAGTGGAGAGAGCATGCTTATCTGGCTTGCAGTGTGGACGAGAACAGGTCCCGGCTTCCTCGAAGCTCGTGTTACTTTTGAATTTACTCGCTCTGGCTTATAAATGCAGAATGAAGGGGCTGGCCTAGTGCGAGCTTTTCCCGTGTTGGTAAGGGTTGTTTTTTTGGGGGGGAGGGGTTGTCATTCTGAGATGGTCTCACTCTGCAGTTCAGGCTGGCCTTGAGCTCACTCTCGCACGGGCTGGTCTCAGGCTTGGCAGTGATCCCTGGATTACAGGTGTGTGCCACCACGCCCAGCTACATTTGTGAGATTAGGTCTCATTATGTTACCTGGATGGCTTGTCTCCGTTTCCTTCCCAGCGGCTAGTGAGTGTCGCTGTGCCTGGCGACCCCTTGTTTTATTTTTTGTACTAATACTTATTATATATGCCGTGCAAGGCATATGTCCGCATAGGATGTAATTTTTGTTTTTTCTATCCTGGGAGTTGAATCCAGAGCCTTCACAGTGAGCTACATAAAGAAATGATAAATGAGGGGGCAGCTGTTGAACAGGTTGTAAATGTCATGATGTGTACTGTGCTGAGACACCACACAGTTCCCTGGTGATTTGTGTGGCTGTTCAAAAATAAATTAAGGAAAAGAAGACCTTTGTTTTTTCTTCTGGTGCCGAGGATTGAACCACACAAATGAATTAAGCAATGCTTCGTACCACAGCAGGCTCAGGTACCTGGACAAGTAGAGTTAAATTCAAGTCCATCAGGAGGCGAGGACAGTAAACTACAGTATGGACATGCACTCAAAGGCCACCTAGGTGAGAGGCACTTTAAAGTGCCTCTTTTCTCTCTACACTTCTGTCTCCAGAGTATTGAGGCCAGGGCTGCTTTATTACTGAGCTGTAACCCCGCCCTGCCTCCCTTTTTAGTTTTGCCACAGGTTCTTGCTCAAATGTCCAGGCTTGGTGACCCTCCTGCCTCAGCCTCCTGAGGAATTTGCCCCTGCAGCTGAGAGATGCATTTGAAAGTAATGGTCATCTGGTGAGGTAGCTCAGTGACAAAGCGCTTCCCTGCAGTGTGCAGGTCCTGGGCTTGGTCTGGTATCTCACTGTGTGGAGGACAACAGGGCCAGGCCTGGCAGTGATGAGGAGTGGGCGAACACAGCTGAGAGGCTGTTGGTGTGTTCTGTAACTTAGCAGGGCTTAGGTCTCTCCTTGCATGTGGGGACAGGTTGAAAACTGGCATCAAAAGCTGGCTGAAGTGTACCCAGGAGGCCCTTTTAAATAGATTAAAAGGCTGTGGGGGCCTAGGATGGGAGCCCAAAGCCTGCGGGTCACAAGTCTGACCCCAGGCTGGGCAACTCAAACTCTGGAAGGCCAGCCTGGCCTGCATAGGGGAACACTTGAAACAACCAAATGAAGGGCTGGGATGTAGCTTAGTGCAAAGGCCCTTGGTTCAATTCCCCAGTACTGCACAAAACAAAAACCTCATTAGCCAGGGTGGTGGGATACAGGTGCCATCCCACATTCTAGGGTGGCTGTAGTCCGAGAGTCCTAAGTTCAAGGACAGCTTGGTAATTTAGGGAGTCTCAACAACAATCAGCACTCCCAAGCTTCACTCCCCAGTACTAGGGACAAAAGAGTCCTGGACAGTGCGGCGGAGCTGGAAGGCTGCATCTCCCAGAGGAGTCGTGGCTGGGGTCCCTGTGATGCCCAGGAGGGGCCAGAGGCTCACCCTGCCAAGAGAACGGAGGGCGGAAGTACACCCAGGAGGCCAAGCACATGTAGGAGGTGGGGAGGAGAGACACAGATCTGGAAGCCATAATGGCCAGGGTGACCAAGGCGGCTGCGTGGAGGGTGTGGAAATAGCTACAACTGAGGCAGGGAGAGGAGAGTGAGCCCAGCCTCCTGAGCAAACTAGCAAGACCCTGTCAGAAGTACGAAATAACAAAAGGGGCTGGGAACATGGCTCAGTATAGAGGTTCTGGGTTCAAACTTGAGGATCTAAAAAAGGATTTATAGATGGCCTGTGAAGAATGTAATACTTCTGTACACAGGTACTAATGAAACACTCTTAAAACAGATTAAAAGGGCTAGGGATTTAGCTGTGTCACAGCGCTTACCTGACAAGCATGAGATCCTGAGTTTGAGTCCCAGTACCAGAAAAAACTGGATGACAGTTTTGTATCCAAGATTTATAGCAGTACCTCCTGTTGAGCTTGGAAGGCTGAGGCAGGAAAACTGCCAGTTAGAAGGCAGCATGGATTGCATAGTAAGACTGTCTAAAAAAAGGAACCCAAAAAACTCCCTAGCTTGAGATCATTAAACTAGTAAGTGCCGGGGACATAACTGATCCTCAGCTCCAGGTGAAAAAGCCCCTCATGCAGAGGGCTGGAAAGGAGGGCAAGTAATTGGTCTCACTTGCCATTGGGTTTTGGGAATGGCCAGAGAGCACACAGCATTGCCTGAGTCCTTAAGGAGGTTGCAGTTTAACAAGGCCAGCTGGCTCCTCTGCAGCTGTGCCCCCAAGAGGACAGGAGAACAGGAGCCTCTGGCCACCGTCCATACAGCACCCAGGGCCTGGCAGCATCCTTGGTATTAACAGCCATGCAGGCTTACCTGACTCACTGCCGCCTAGTGGGAACCAGGGACCCTCCTCACTGACAACTGGGGCTGCCACAGGTGCCTAGCGGCTGGTGTACTGCTTGTCACTTGCCCTGCACCCTGTGTGGGAGACCCAGACCCCCAAAGAACTTCCTTTTTGGGGGGGCAGTACTAGGGCTAAAACCCAGGGCCTCTGCACTGAGCTGCACTTCCATCACTTTTTTTGAGACAAGGTTTCATTGTACACTTTCTGGCTTTGAACTCACTTTGTAGCCTAGACTGGCCTTGAACTTGCAGAGATCCTTCTACCTTCCCCTACCCAGTACTGGAATTATAGGCGTGTATCATCATGTCTGGTTTTTGGGGCCAGCACAGCATGGGGTACCAGGGATCGAATTCAGGCCTTTGCACTTGCCAGGCGCGCCCTTCGAACACTGAGCTATCTCCCCAGCCCTGGCTTTATTTTTTGAGGTTACTAAATTGCCCAGTTGAGGTTCAAACTTGCTACCCTGCCTCCGCCTCCCAAAGGTCTGTAATTATAGGACTTCACCATCACACCAAGCAACAAAGAACTTTTTGCCCCAAGTGTCAGCAGTGCTGAGGCTGAGTAGCATTGGAGGAAGTTGAAGAAAACTTGAAAGGGAGAAAGAAAACTCGATTCAAATAAGACTTACACTTAAATTCCTGGAAGGGAAGGGCTGTTGTGTCCGTCTTACTATAGCCTCAGCAGCCTGGGGACCACGGGTGGGTTTGTTCTCTTCAGCACTGAGGAACAGGAGCGCACTAAGCAGGGCTGCAGTGCCCACAAACCACCTGCTTCAGTGCGTGCAGGGGAGAACTTCCAGGTTTGGGGGCCAGGGACACCAAAGGCCACAGGGTCCGGAATGAGGCGTACAGTGATGTGTCTGTCAGGGAGGCCCATGAGGACGTCCACAGTGGGCTCGCGTACTCGGGCGTGGAGGTGTCCAGCTCCTCCACAGGGTGGCTTCCAGGCACTGCTCCACAGTATCTCTGTCCACAGTAACAGCCTCCAACTGTCCTGGCACCCGGACACTCCTCTGCAGCACGTCCCCTGGTGCCTGTGTGCACACATCCCCTTCACACGCTCCTGCTCCACCCCAGTTCTGCCACCTTCTTTCCTCAGCCAAAATATAACCTAATCCTTCTGAGCCAGCGTCTTGCTATCTAGTGCAGGCTGGCCTTGAGCTCACAGCAATCCTCCTGCCTCAGCCACCTGGTGCTGGGATTACAGACCTGTATGATACCTGGCTATCCCATGATTTGTGGACACTACCTTGCCCTGTAAACCAAAGCTCATCCTATGAATTTCAGAAGCTGAATGTAGACCCCAGCCACACTTACATACACATTTAAAAAAAAAAAATACACATTGATCATCTGGTGTTTTCCTTTTCAAAAGGAAAACCAGAGGCCATGTTTATAGCCCTTCCAGGACACAGAAAGCAAGAGGGGGAGGCTGAAGCAGGACCACCAGTTCAGAGTTAGCTTGAGCATCTGTCCAGTGAGACCATGTCTTAAAGTAAAATAAAGAGGCCTGGTGTGGCTCTGTGGCACAGTACTTGTCTAGCATGCACAAAGCTATGGCTTCAATCCCTAGTGCTGCCAAAAAATATGTACAACCTAACAAAGGTACATATTTCCAAAGAGGGCAACAGCTTTGAAACATAGTTTAAAAAGAAAGGAGCTGGGCTTGGTGGTACATGCTTGTAATCCCAGCACTTGGAAGGCTGAGGCAGGAAGATCACAAGTTTGAATCCCACCTGGACTATAGAGCGAGCCAATTAAAAAAAAAAAACAACCAAGAAACAGAATATCCCTTGTTAGTGAGAGCAGTGGCACACGGCCATAATCTCAGCATTTGGAGCTGAGGCAGGACGACAGCAAGTTTGATTCAGTTGAGGAACTTAGAAAAACACTGTCACAAAATAATGTCCAGGAAGTAGCTTAGTTCACCAGGCTGGTATCTAATCTCAGGCCCACCACCAAAGCAAACCCTCCTTTGCTGACCTAGTCCCAGTCATACGTCCCAGTGTAGCCATGTCCAGCTTTTCCGTACAAATCCTGTGCCACTAGCTAACCAAGACCCGAGGGGCGCAGCTGGAAAGGCCCCTCCCCTCACAGCCTTCAACAAACAGGACTATAGCATGGGACAGGTGGCAGGGATCGGATAAACAATGAGCACACCAGGCAACAGGGAAAAGGATGCACTTACTCATAAAGGTACAGCACTTGGATCTCAAGAAATAGAAATGCTTAATACTTGTACAATAATCAGTGACATTTATTCCCATCACAATTTTTTTTTTTTTTTTGGAACCGGGAATTGAACTCAAGCCCTTGTGCCTGCCAGGGTAGCGCTTATTCTATTGAGCCATCTCGCCAGACCCCCACAATTTTAAGAATAACCCAAGACTAAATAGCTCTTTTTTTTTCTCTTGATGGATTTTAAACCTTGGGACTTTTCCTCTCATGGAGCTTAACTTCTTGAGCCAATGAACTGACCCTTAAGAAATATACTGAAAACCCTTAAGAAGAGCGAAGCAAAGGGAAATCTCCAATTCTTCCAGCCTTCGCCAGCACAAGGTGCTGCCCCTGGGGTGTGTCTGGGTAACCTTCACACCCGATTTCTGAAGAAGAAACTAGAATTTGCATAGTAAATCATGCCGTGAGACCTTGGTTCTACAGTTGGTTTTCTGTTGCTTTAGAGACAGGGTTTTGCTCTGATATCCAAGCTGGCCTTCAACTTGAGGCTCTTCTGCCTCAGCCTGCCGAGTGCTGTGACTGTCAGTGTACACCCCATGCCCAGGTTGGGGTCTCTCGGTGAGGACATTCAGTGACAGCTGTGTGTGGGGTATGGCTCCCCAGTGGGGTGCTTGCCACAGGAGGGAAAAATAGGTATGCAGCTTCATGGTCACCAGGGCCAAAGACGCACACAGCACACGTGGTCAGGTAGCAGGGACCCTGCAGGAGGGATGACTCCCCTCTCTGTTTTAACAGCAGAGCTTACTTCTTTCAACACTGTTAGAACACCAGCAAGGTGGGCTCTGTGTGAGGCCCTGGGTCCAATCCCCAAACGCTGATGAACATGACCGTTGGGCCCGAGTCCCCTTGGTGACCACTGATGGCCCGCTGCAGGGCCCTTTCCTGCCACAGTTCCATGGGGTCAAGAGTGCCGAGCACACTGCTAAGCAATGCCCTCTGCAGCTGCAACTCTAAGGTCCTAGGGTTGCAAGCACAACAATGCTGTCCTCAGGGCCCCACATCATCATGGCCTTGGCCAGCTGGGATCCTCAGATGTCCCCTCCAGTGCAGGCCAGTCCAATCCTGCAGCTGCTCAGGTCCGGCCTGGTGGTGAGGCCACAAGAGCCAGCAGCCGCCGACTGAGCAGTGCGTTGTGTCGCTGCAGATAGGCAATGATGTCGGCCTGCTTCTCCACCACCTCCTCCAGGCTCCCTGCAGTCCTGCAAGAGTCAGACAGAGGTCTCCAGTGTCGGCGGATTTGTACCTGGCACATGCATGTTCCTGTTTATTAGGGGCCACCATCCGCACGTACCAGAAACTGGTGCGGGCTGTGAACTCAAGGCTGGCTTGAGCTGTATAGCAAGCCCCATCTCAAAGAGCCAAAAGTACAGAAAGGAGCAAATAAAATGGCTACGAACAGACCTGTGGCGAGACTGTACGCACCTCAGCCCAGCCTTGTGACCCAGGGGCTGTGTGACCACCAACCAAACCTCTCTGCTCCTAGACGTTAATACAAGCACTCAGCATGTGACATGGGCAAGCCCCTCGGGCCCTTATCCCATTTTCTGTGAGCTATGCCAACTTACAGAACATGTTCTGTTTTGTGATGGCTTTAGGCTCTCTTCTCTTGGGTGGCTGTGGGGTGGGCACAGGGGTCTCAGCGCTCTGGGTAGGCTCTCCCAGAGCTGTGGCCTACAGACCTATGACTCAGGTGGCTGGATGATGGCACAACAGGGAGCTGGTGGAGATGGGCAACCAGGGGCGGCAGCGCCTCAAATACAGGCTGGTAGCGGAGGGGGACAGCAAGCAGTGAGGAATCTGCAATGTGGAGACTTTTTCGACACAGGGTCTTGCTATACAGCTCAGGCTGGCCTTGAATCCTCAATGGAGCCCAGGCCTGCCTGGAGCTCATGGTAATTCTCCTGGCTCAGCTTCCCAAGAGCTGGGACTACAGGCGTGCGCCACTGCACCAAGCCTAGCTCTCCTTTCTAAATAACGCGATCCTACTGTTTCTGCTGGCCACAGCACTTCAGCACCATCTATAAACTTCTCAGAGTGGATGCGGCTCTGCGCCTGTCCGCCTGTCCTCATCCTGGCATTGTCTTGATCCAGTGGCACAATTCTGGGCTAATCAATATTTGTGCTCTGCATTATCACTCTTTATCACCCAGAGTAAGGCCTCTGTCGTAATCACAGTGCTAAGGAGGCGGAGACAGGAAGACCTTGAGCTCAGACAGTGTGGGCTCCACAGTGAGATCTCAAAGCCAACCAACCGACACAAATGTAAGGCCTTACTATATTTCATATGCAGCCTCTTTTGCTTGAGATTAATAACTGCCTCATGACCCTGTTGCACTTTTGTTTATATTTCTCCCTCTGGTACTGTGGACAGGGATGGCTACCACTAAGCTTTATCCCCATGTATTTGAGAAAAGGTCTCCCTAAACTGTCCACGCTGACTCCAGCTTGTGATCCTCCTGCCTCAGCCTCCTGGTTGGTATTTAGTAACCGTGTTAGTCCTAAGCTCCACAGCAGACAGGGCCGGTACTTCCGCCATCAGAGCACCCTGGAGAGCAGATGGCAGCAGCAGAGTGGGGCAGGCCTCATGCCCTGGCCCAACGGTGCAGCAGATGAGAGCCGGCAGGGAGCCAGGCGGCAGAGTCAGCCCAGGATGACTGTGTGTCCTGCAGCTCTGAGGCTGACAGGCTGAATGAGAGGGGAACCCCACTTCTACAGCAAGTGCCCCAGGAATTCACCTGTGCTGGGACTGGTCTCGCCCCAACTGAAAAGAAGCAAGCCAAGCACGCCTGCTACCCTGGTCAGCAGCTCTCGGCTCCGGAAAACCCTTTCGGTTCCCTCCACTGAGCTCTGACAGCTCACCTAGCCCTCACCTGAATCCGGTCTCCGAGGCCAGACTGCTGGGATGGGCATAGAGCTTCTCTTCTTCCAGCACATCAGGCTGAGGTTTGGCTCTATTAAATCTTCTAATTTTCACTAAAACAACAAAAGTCACTGTCAGTCCTCAGATTACTGGACCTTAACTATTCTCAACTCCATTCGCTGCAGTGCCATGGGTTGGCTGTTCCTCTCAAACAGCTTAGCAGCCTTAAGACTGCTTCCTGAAGCGAAGCACTGGGGCTGGCTATTAATTTAGACAGTTCCGGGCTGTCATCAGTGGCGCCTGCAGCAGCTGGCACTCACTGTCCCTTGAGCACAGGACTCAGGCGGTACATGTCTCTCCGCTGCTGCACGTGGCTGCTCTTTCCCTGGTTTACAAGAACGGTCAAGCAAAGCTCCACTGCCAGCGCCTGAGCCAGGACTGCGGGACTTCAAAGCCTCCATTCTCCACACTTTATTTTTCTTTTCATTTTTGAGACAGAGTCTCAATGTGTCATCCAGGTGGGTCTCCAACACACAGCGATCCACCTGCCTCAGCCTCACTGGTGCTGAGATTCCAGGTGAGCACAACCACAGCCAGCTATTTTGCTTTTACATTCATTCATTCATCTTTTGGTACTGGGGATCAAACTCGTTTATGCCACTGAACTATCTCCCCAGCCCTTTGCCTTTACTTTTAAATGTAAGACTTCTACTCTGGTTGTCTTTGGGGAAGCAAAAGTTGATGGGGTGTCACCTTATTGATGGCTCAAAGTTAGCAGGATAGCCCAGCATCTCAGCCACGCAGGTGGCTCTGTGCTCCTCACCTGCATACAGGAGCAGCCAGGTCAGGCAGCAGAGCAGCTCCAGGGCCAGCACAGCCAGGATGAGCATGAGGTACAGCCTGCCGCGCCCGGGGAAGGAGTGCTGCACGCCCAGCACCAGCAGCAGCGCCGCATTGCCTGCGGGACAGGACGGAGGTGAGAAGCGCGCCAGTCTCCGTGGTTTCCTGCCCCAACCCCCAAAACGCAGGTGACTTCGGTGTGCAGTAACAGGAGGCTTGCAGAGACCCTGCAAACCCTGGAGTCCTACGCAGCGGCACCCTGTCTTACCCCACCTGAGCTCACACTGGTCAGTGACTGGAGAGTAGGCTGGAGGGGTGTACTGGTTTGTACAGTGTGTCAACTTGAGAAGTTTAGAAGTTTAAGTGACTCAGCAGGGAGCCAGGGTTCTTTCTTTGTAAACATCCTGTGCAAGAAGAGGGCGTGGAGACTGTGAGTTTGCCCCCCACACACACCAGGGCAGCCTGCTTACAGTAAGGAGGGAAGCCACAGCTGTTGCCCCTCCCTTTGCTCTTTGCTCCTTCACCATGAACTACTGCCCTCTGCCATGGCAAGTCCATCTTGGGCCAGCCAAGTACAGACTAAAACATCCACAAACTGTGAGCTAAACAAACCTTCCTTAATTCTGGGTTTGGGTATTTTGTCTCAGCACAAGAGAAAGGTAACCGAGACAAGAGACCAGAGGGCACAGATTTAATGTCTGTATGTCCTGAGACAAGGTCTCACTGTGTAGCTCAGACTGGCCTCCACCTCCAGGAGATCCTCCTGTCTCAGGCTCCCAAGTGCTGGGATTACAGGTGTGCAACACTACACCCAGCTGGCATTATACATTTATAACAGGAACTCCCCGCTGGGCACAGGGTGCCAGTCTGTAATCCCAGTGCGCTGCAAGGCTGAGGCAGGCAGAGTACAGTTGAAGGCCGGCCTCAGCAGCTTAATGATTCAGCAAAATGTCTCAAAATAAATACATTTATAAAAGGTTGGTGAAGGCCTCAGTTCAATTTCCAGAACTGCATGCAAAAAATCAATAGAAGACTTACTTTGGATTAGGCTGCCATCTTTATGTAAAAAATGATGCAGGTTTTGAAGTCTGCACTGTAGCTTCCAGGGCACTTCCACTCCTC